ATAATTTCATTTAAATACTTATTTATTTAATTTCGTTTTGCCAACGACAGGTACCAAGACAGACATGAACCGGCTAGCTTGTGTTGCAACTTGCTACATATACGGTCGATTATTTTGTTTTCACTTGTATTGATTTTCCGTCCATCGTGTATAATTATTGATTAAATATATGTTGGACTCGTCAGATATTTTGTTTTCTTGTCGATTCTTGCTCGCCTGAACACAAACCTTAATTAACAAAATAAGCAAAAATCTTAATTGAAGATCTACTTTGTAAAATGCAGTGTCCAAGTTGTTAGACTGAAAGATTAATTAGCTTCTATTTAACATCACATATATAAAAACATATTAGTATACATATTGGACCTAACGGATATAAAGACAACAGACAGCAGGCCCATGAAGTAATGAAGCCCACAAAGCCAACCTCCAGCTCAGCTTCACCTGCAACGGTCACAACATCAGTAAGACAAAACAAAGGCAAGCATCACGACAAAGAAGGGGTCTTACCACCTGGTCCATGTTTCGATGATGTTGCTCACAAGCTAACCGGCTTTGAAGACAAGATTCGTTCTTATGAAACTTCTACTGAACCAAATCCACATCAAGCATTTTATGCAAACCGTGGTGGTTACTCTAATCGAGGAAGAGGTCATTACAGAGGAGGATACCGTGGACGTGGATCCTACTCGACTCAAGGAAGAGGTTTCCCACAACAGTTTGGTCAAGGAGCACATCAAGGACGTGGTTCTTCTGCTAACTCTCAGCGACCCACATGTCAGATCTGTGGCAAGTACGGACATCCTGCATACAAGTGTCATTACCGTTTTGATGAACACTACACAGGTCCAGATCCACATCAAGCTAACACGCTGAATACTACTGCAAATAACAGACAAGGTGGAGCTGAATGGTATCCAGACAGTGGTTCAACGGCTCATGTGACAAATTCTTCTCAACACCTGGACACTGCTCATGCGTATGATGGTGGAGATCAAGTCATTGTGGGTAATGGAGACTATCTCCCCATAACTCATGTTGGTGCTGCTTCTATTCCCACATCATCAGGTAATATTCCTCTACTGGATGTTTTAGTCTGTCCTGACATAACAAAATCATTACTCTCTGTCTCTAAGTTGACCGATGATTTCCCTTGTGAGTTCACTTTTGATGCTACTGTTGTGTATGTTAAGGACAAGCTCACCAGTCAGGTTCTCAGTCGGGGAAACAAGACTAAAGGACTGTATCGGTTGGACAATCCACAGTTTCTGGCCTACTACTCTTCTAGACAGCAGCGAACAAGTGATTTAGTATGGCACAGGAGACTAGGACACCCCAACGATCAAGTTCTGCAGTATCTATCATCTATCAAGGCTATTTCTTTTAATAAGACTACTAAGTCATTATGTGAAGCATGTCAGTTAGGAAAGACGTGTAAACTTCCCTTTTTTAGTTCTGAATCTCGTTCTACCAGAGTACTTGAACGAATACATTGTGATGTATGGGGTCCTGCTCCAGTTGTTTCCCCTCAAGGATTTCGTTATTATGTTATTTTCATTGATAACTGCTCAAGATTTTGCTGGTTCTACCCTCTCAAATTGAAGTCTGATGTGTACACTGTCTTCAAATCTTTTCAACTTCAAGTAGAAAATCAGTACAAAACAAAGATAGCTGTGTTTCAGTCAGACGGTGGTGGAGAGTTTATCAACAAACGTCTCATGGATCACTTGGTTTCATGTGGCATCAAGCACTTTGTGTCATGCCCTCATACACCGGAACAAAATGGGATTGCTGAGAGAAGACATCGCTACATCACAGAGCTTGGGTTATCAATGATGTTTCAGAGTTCTCTGCCACAGAAACTGTGGGTTGAAGCATTCTACACTGCAGTATTCTTGAGTAACTTGATTCCCACGTCTGTGAATGACAAGATGGTTAGTCCGTATCAAGTTCTAAATGGTAAACCTCCTGTGTATACGGCTCTCAGAGCATTTGGCTGCGCGTGTTACCCTTACTTGAGACCTTATGCTGAGAATAAGTTCGATCCCAAGTCTCTTCTATGTGTTTTTGTTGGGTACAATGAGCGTTACAAGGGATACAGATGCTACCATCCACCGACTGGTCGTGTCTATATTAATAGACATGTCTTGTTTGATGAAGACAGACTTCCTTTCAAAGACACTTATCACCATCTTCTTGCTGAACCAACCACCCACTTAAGTAAAGCTTGGAGACTTCAGATACCGGTTGTCCCAGAGCAACAAGAAGATGATATTGTGACAGATGAAGTTATTTACAGGCAAAAAGCGTTGATCCCAACCCATCCACAACCCGTTGTCCACTCACCTCCACACAATGTTGAAGATCAATTTCAAGATCAAGCATCAGGAAGCTCCTCCAGCTCAGACAACTCTGGTTTTCAATCAGAACCAGATGTACCAGATATACAACCTCCTGCTAATACTCACCAGATGACGACAAGAGGAAAAGCTGGAGTTGTGAAACCAAACCCAAGATACGCTTTGCTTGCTGTCAAAGGAGTTCCACAAGTACCAAGAACGCTTGCTGATGCCTTAAATCACTCTGGTTGGCACGGATCAATGCAGGAAGAGATAGACATGTGTGATGAAACAGGCACATGGACACTGGTACCTCCATCACCAGATATCAGACCTATTGGATGTGGTTGGATACATAAAGTCAAACTCAACGCAGATGGAAGCTTTCTGAAGTTGAGGTCTCGTTTAGTTGCCAGAGGAAATGAACAGGAAGAAGGAGTGAATTTTTTAGAAACCTATAGCCCGGTTGTTAGGACAGCCACAGTGAGAATGGTTCTACATTTTGCAGTAACAGAGAAGTGGGATATTAAACAGCTTGATGTGAAGAATGCATTCTTACATGGGGATTTGTCTGAAACGGTCTACATGAGACAACCACCAGGGTTTACAGATAAGAAGAATCCTGAGTATGTATGTCTTTTGAAAAAGGCTATTTATGGCCTTAAACAAGCCCCTAGAGCGTGGTTTGACAAGTTCAGTTCCTATCTTTTGGAGTTTGGTTTCCTCTGCAACACAGGAGATCCATCATTGTTTGTCTACTTGAAAGGCAAAGATGTAATGTTTCTGCTTCTGTACGTTGATGACATGTTGGTCACTGGCAACAATAAAACCCTTCTTAACCAGCTTCTTCATTCATTGAGAAAACAGTTTCGAATGAAAGACATGGGTCAGCTGAGTTACTTCTTAGGGATTCAAGCTCAGTTTACTGCAACGGGGTTGTTCTTGAGTCAAGCAAAATACGCTACTGATCTGCTTCAGGCTGCAGGTATGTTGGACTGCGCTCCTATGCCAACTCCTCTGCCGTGTCAACTTGATAGAGTTCCTCATCAAGATGAAGCGTTCAGCAATCCCACTTACTTCAGAAGTTTGGCAGGCAAGTTACAGTACTTGACTTTGACCAGACCTGACATTCAATTTGCTGTCAACATTGTCTGCCAAAAGATGCATCTTCCCTCTGTCTCAGACTTTAATCTGCTTAAACGGATTCTCAGATATCTTAAAGGCACTCTTGAGATGGGAGTTCAACTGGAAGCTGATTCTGATTCTAGACTTCGTGCGTACTGTGACAGTGATTGGGCTGGATGCCAAGATACCAGACGTTCTACAGGAGGATTTTGTACCTTTCTTGGTTCAAATCTCATTTCATGGTCAGCAAAAAGACAAGATTCAGTGGCACGATCATCAACAGAGGCAGAATACAGAACCTTATCAGACACTGCAGCAGAGATTGCTTGGATAAGTCTGATGTTGAAGAGTATAGGAGTTAAGCTAACTGGTCCAGCTGAGATATACTGTGAAAATTTATCTGCAGTACATCTCACTGCTAATCCGGTCATGCACAGAAAGTCCAAGCACTTTGCAACGCACTATCACTTTGCGCGGGAGAAGGTTGCAGACGGGTCTCTTGTTGTTAAACATATTCCAGCAGCACAGCAATTAGCTGATGTGTTCACAAAGTCCTTGCCTCAGAGAAGTTACTTCGCTCTACGTTCCAAACTCGGGGTTATGTTTCCATCCACCTCGAGTTTGCGCGGGAGTATTGGACCTAACGGATATAAAGACAACAGACAGCAGGCCCATGAAGTAATGAAGCCCACAAAGCCAACCTCCAGCTCAGCTTCACCTGCAACGGTCACAACATCAGTAAGACAAAACAAAGGCAAGCATCACGACAAAGAAGGGGTCTTACCAGCTGGTGCAGTCAAGCTTAGTAACCGCTTTGATGCGCTATTGGAGGAGAGTGGATGAGCTGTCAGGGCTAGCTGTCAGAGATCTAGAAGCATCCTTATCTCTGTATAAATAATGTTCTTGAGGATTGTAACAAACCAAGTTAATGAAATCGTAAACTTCAAGCTTTCTTATCTGAGGTCTCCTATACTCTGTTTTACCTTTAATACACAGCTGACATTAACTTATTTAACCATTGTGTGAAGGGTGTTTAGAAATTTCGAACTGGATATCCTTCTCGATCCATGCTTATTCTTTATACTCATCACGAGGATGAAATTTAAAACGTTTCCTAAGCGTATTGCGAAATAAAATTTCCTTGGTTTGGTAAAATATGCCAAAATAATATATCCAAGTGAACATTTAAATAATGAATAATAGTGTCAATGCATACGTGAATAGCAGCACTGTCATACCATTACCAAAAACACCAGTTAAGCGTCATTGACCACTAGCTAGTTTTTCTGTTTGGGAGATAAATTTAATGTATCAAGTCCACTTCAATGTGGGCTTTATTGGGCCCTTTTTATATGACTGAACATTTAGACGGACACTAGAGGCCCGACCCGACCCAAGCCGAGTAATTTTTTTTTTATGATCAACTCCACGCCGAGTAAATTAAGATTTTATAAAACACTCATCTCTTCTTATTGGTTCAATTCTTACTTTTAAAACCAAATTTTGAGATTTTATAAAACACTCATCTCTTCTTATCAGTTCAATTCTTATTTTACTAGCGCTTAATTACATAACTAAATTTACGTTAAAAATATAAATATTTTTTTTGGTCGAAGAACTTTAGAAAGTTTTTGGTCGAAGTACTTCAGAAAGTTTCTTATGGACATAGAATAACTCTTCATATAGTTGATTAATCAAGAAGCTCCAACTCCAAGAAAATCAAAGAAGTAAAAGCCACTCTGCGTCTGCACTTTCCTTTCACTGACTGTGATTGTGTGGTGATTTTGATGGTCCATCTTTTTACTATATTTGCCATTAACTTCTGCTCTCTGCGCACACTGACCATCTTTACCTGCAAAGATTATCAAAATAATTATTTTAGCCCCCACGTGAAATTTTGTTGTATTGAAATAGTAACGGGACATTGTACTACAACTCCTTATATAAAATAATACACGTAGGTACTATTACGATGTAAAACACTGTTTTTTTCTCTCTTGTCATTCAAATTTATAATTATTGCCATATATATGAAAAGGGATGACATTATCAGAAGTGGTCACTCCTCGTCGGTTATATAACATGTATGCCAAATTCATCGTTTAATGTGATTTGAACATTTCAAAAACACCGACTGATTCTAAGCTAATTCTAGACTAAAATATATGCCGATCATGATCAACGAACCTAAATAACTATAACTAGATTCACGAAAACGCTTTCAAGAAAACCAGGGAACAAAGTGAAAAACATTCCAAGTTTCTATGCTTTTTATATCTTAAGAATGTCATGAAGATAATATCTTTCTAAAAAGAGACAAAGTACTACGTAATAAAATAATAATAAACAAAGCAAACAAATGCATAAATTCTTACCTAGCACAAGGGCATTATCGTAATTCAAGAAACGAGCCTGGTGAGTTGAGGAGGGTGGAGTGAGAGAGAGCTCTGTCGTACAGGTAGAGAGAGCTGAAGCATCTTCATCGTCACCATCATTATCTTCTTCATTGAGGAAAATATCTTTCGAGACTGTACCTAAGAACACACCGCGGCACAAGGGAGAGACTGTAGTTTCAGCGTTTCTTGACGGTGCCTGAGGAGGCTGCACTTGACGCTGTCGTTGACTTTCTCTAGTCCGTCGAGACATGATGACGTGCCAATGGTTCTTGACGGCGTTATCAGTCCGACCCGGGAAGAGACGTGAGATCAAAGCCCACTTGTTGCCATAGGCTCGGTGGAGAGCTAAAAGCCTAGACTCTTCTTCCTCGGTGAATGCTCTCTTGTTAATTCTTGGGTCTAGTTGGTTAAACCATCTCAATCTACAACTCTTGCCTAAAATCAAAGAACGCAACATTGATTACTCTTTAAAGTATATTAATTAGTTACTGTCAAAAATATGTCACTGATGTGTCTGATTGAATACATATATTTGTCATTATATATATATATGCATTAATTTTGGAGAAAAGCTTCTGTTTTGGGTCAAATGGAGAAAATACTTATTTGTGAAAAAAAGAAAATTGGATTTTTGGTACCAAAATTTACTTATATAAATTTAATTATTTATGGTGTTTAAAAAGATAAAAACAATTACACAAACGAAAATTTGAGTAAGAAAGAAGTAGAGAAATAAAAGTACCTGATCTACCAGGAAGGTGGTTAGCAATCACGTTCCAGTTCTGGGGGCCAAACTGGGCAACAAGCTCCTTGAGTTTAGCATCTTCTGTTGGTCGCCAGTGTCCTCTTGAGCATAGTTTTGTATTTACTCCATTTTTGCCCCTCATTTTCAAACCATTTTCACCCCTCTCGTTCTCATGTTCATCTCCCAACTTCAAGAATGAGACTGATTTGTTGTGATGAGGATGGTTTCTAGCGAGAGAGAAGTTGGTGTGCGAGTTTGGTGGAGATCTGATGAAGTTGTTTCTTTCTTCGAATCTTCTAGAGTTGTTGATGGTATAATTACCTGTAAGATTGTTCTTAAGGAGATTTGGACTCATTTTTTCTTTCTTTCTGAGGCTTGAGATTAGAGGAAGAGAGGCCAGGAATAAGAGAGGAGGAGAGCACTTGAATGGCTTTCCACTGTTTATATGGTGGCAGAGGAAAAAAAAAAGAGATTCTCTAATTTTTCATAGAGTTCGGTATGAATTTGACTGACATGTATTCACAAGCTAATATATATACAGTATATAGGATTATTTTCACATCATATTATAATAATTTAATATATAATAATATTATAAAAATTTGATGATGAGTTGTTATTTAGAAGTACATGAATTAGCTGTTTTATTTACATATACCTAAAGTTTTAAGGAAATTTTCCTATCACATATATCGATATCAAATATATTTTTTCAGTTATCATCTTTTTATTTTTTACAAATCTTGATAATTTCTTTCCAATCGTTTTATATAGTCTAATATGATTATCATTTGAAGTTTTGAACTATACTTTTAGTCGTTAATGGTTTTGAAAAACTCGGTCGTATAAAGGATCAAAGTATGATAATTTCTCATCACTATCTTTATGAGCTATTGAGCTGCTCTAATTTTTTCTTCGTCTTCTTTACATGAATTATAGAGATTTATGCCAACGCTCTTCTTCAGGTTGCAAAGCGAAAATTTCGAATAATGTGATACTTTTGGTATGAGTTCACTATATCTCTCTCCACACGTGCAAAAGTAAGGCTTTGGAAAGTCGGTGGGTACGTGTGGTGTTGCTACATGCAAAACAAGACCCGCTCGTGCGTTTGGAGGGTGCGATGACTGTAGTCCCCACAGGCTCAACAGTCTCGGAAATTTCAAAAACATTTTTGAAACGCTCGTGTGGCACTACTATACACACATTGTTTTATTGCACGTGTGCACGTACGAACGTGTGGGTGGGAGTTAATTATGGGATAAAAACAACAGAATCAACTTTTGTCTGTCTCGGACACAAAGCAAGAAAAGCTCTTAAAGGGAGGGAAAGTAATTGCTTTTCTCAGTTTAACGTATGCGAATGTGTGTGTGTGTAAAGTACTTAACTAGTTTTAAGTACTTCGAGATCTATAATCTATTGAGCAAAGGGCACGAAGACGTTTTAGATATGTACATTTTCCTTATATATTCAGTGCACTCAAACACACTTCTACTTATCAAGTGAACTCAAACAATGGTGTGCGACAACTACTGGAAAAAACTAAAAAGAAATACCAACTCTATTTAAGACTATCCTTCAATGATGTGGACTATAATGTTCTTCTTAAATAATGAAATTTAATTGAAGCATGATATGTTTATGGATTAGATTAATTGAATGGACACACATTTGAATGCAAAAGTGTTTTTTTTCCTTTACATAGTGAATGTGATAACAAAATGTAACTGCAGTCGAAGTTGGAGTTAAATTCAGCAGAAAACGCACACAGCAATAAATATAATACAAAGAAACGTTAGAAACCAGAGAAAAGTACTCAACAGATTATTTAATAGTGTTTTTGTTTTGTGTGAGTACTTTTGGTTATGGGAACGGTTTCATTAATTTTGAAATCTTCCGCTGACGACAAAGAATAAAAAGTCGTGTACCGGCGTGGAATGACGATTATCATGAACTGTTACACACGAGCGGATCGTTTTGCTACCTAACACATGTCCCGTCATCTCGTATTTACGTTTCCGGTTTTTAAAGAAAATATCCTCGAACCGTTATGGAACCCAATCCCACTTTTTTAATTATTTGTTGTCTTGCATAATAATTCTTTAATGACATCTTACAAACTGAAACTTTCGACCCTGGAATAAGTTTTTCTCCAACGACCACGAAAGGTTTGAAACTATAATTTGAAATCTTGTTTTATCTTGGATATAGATAATATAAAAGATGTATCTTTTTTTTTTGAAATACAACTTAGTTTCATTAAAACTCATTTTTATAGCTACAACAAAAAAAAGAGTGAATTATTGACGGCCAGAAATGTATATGATCATATCTCTATTTTCTACCATCCTCACTTGTGCAGTTTTATTGAGGGATTTGTATTTTCTTTATCTTTCTTTTAGAGTATCCACAATGAGAAGTTCTTAAGGACAATCCTTAAGAAAAAAAAATATTTTGGATTATAAAAGATTATTTTAAATTTTTTCTTTAAAAAATGAAAAACTGACAATTTGCAGGCTTTCACGTGGACAGTGAAACCCGCAAATAGTGTAAGGATCAATCCTTAAATAAAAATTTTAAGAATATAATCCTTAACTGTTCATGGAATCCACATATTATAAAATTAATATTTTTTTAAGGATTTCCCTTAAGGATTCGCCATTAATATACAAAACAAAAGGTGGAGAGAGAAGGAAAAATCGTAACTCCAAATACTGAAATAGTAAAGTTTCGGTAATCATGAGATAAGCCACACTAATTTCATTCACTTAGAGAAAGTTTCTTGATTAGTTTTAAAGAGGACACTTTAACTAATTTGAGGAATTTAGGGCTTTATATCATGCATGATGTAATGACATAAAGTCTCTTTATATGTACATAATTCAATTATGCATCATGTCAAAGTTGTTAGCCGGTTCATTGCACTTGTATCATATATATAACTAACATATCACATCAATGTACATTGTAATTTTTATGATTATAAATACATTTCTGGGAGGAATTAATGAGGTTTTATACCTTACAGACTAAATTGGAAGTCATTATCGAGGCAGTTAATTGTCCACGCATCCACCAATATGTTAGTCCACATGGATCCAAAATAAAAAGTTTAGTTAATCCAATGTAAATAGTTTGATGTAAGCAAAAGTATTAATCAAAATAAGCATTAGTCAAAAGTTTACGGTAGTGATCAGCAACTAACCCACACACAATTCTTAACTCACAATGATTTACAAGTCGAAAATAACTCAACTATTATCTCGGTTTTACTACCACTGATTCATTCATGTTTTTATATTTTTTTAGTCATTCACCTTAACTGATGTTTTTTTTTTTAAAAGTTCTAGTGTAGTTTTATTGTTACCATTAATTTTAAGTTTATATATGTTCAATTCCGGTCCTAGGCAAAGTGGAATGAAACATTAGTTTTAATTTTCAAAAAAATTTGAAGAAAATTATATATACAACTTCTAATCTTTTTTAAAAAAATTTGGCCCCCAAAATTATTGATAAATTTATAAAACCGTCTACGAATCCTAAAATTTCATGATCGACCATGTATATGTTACATGTTTTGAAACTAAAATATTATTTGAAATGATTGTAAATTATTTATGCTGTATTTTCTATAGCAATTATGTAAATTTTCTATTAAAAAACATCAACGAAAAACCTGCAAAAGTTTTATATATAAAAAAAAAAGAGAGTTCAAATGATAATGTTAATCAAAAAAAGATAAAAGAGTTCAAATGATAAGATAAATAAGTAATCAAGTACATCCATCCATGATGTTAAGCCCATATTGTAAAAACAGAGCATGGACTTGCTCCACAATGTTGCCTTTAGGCCCATACTTTATAAAAAAAAGAGTAGAGATAAATTTAACGGTTAACTGAAATAATCTATCTTCCGCCGAGCGGTCGCCGTAGAAGAGGAGAGACGATGAACAACTCAACCAGACTCCTCTCCCTCTTTTCTCCTCCTCCTCCTCCTCCTCCTCCTATCTTACGTGGCCTTTTAATTAATCTTGTTTAGAATGTGAAGCCATTCTTGTTTAAGACAGGTGCTGATTCACTCAAAAGGATGAGTCTTTACTTAACAAGTGGTCTTCAGGGAATTGGTAAGGTATAAAAAAAAAGGTTACTATTTTAGAGTTGGTAGCTTATAGACAACTTCGTTTCAGTGTTGAGATTGTGAACTGATGGTTTGGATCGTTTGTGTGTTTTGTGTGTTAGGTAGTGGATAAGGATAAGGCGAGTACAGAGGATTTGATGAGGCTTCTTTTGAGTTATGTTGTGGATGAAACGAGGTTCATTTCAGAAGAACATTGAGATGAAACGAGGTGACTGGGTTTGCTCGAGGTATGAATAAATTAGTTGGATTCTCAGTAGCCTTTTTATGTAATCATATAAAATCTCAGACGACTTGTTGAAATGGTTGGGATTATACCCTGTTATTGAGATTGAAAGATCTTATCTTAAGGGATAGAAATCATTGAGGTTTGATTTTCTTTCATATGGGGTGGGGACTTGCTGAAACAGGTGCAATGGCTTGAACTTTGCGAGAAATATCAAATGCTTCCAGTGTGATGAAGCAAGACCAAAGAGACAGCTCACTGGTAATGAATGGGAGTGTCCTCAGTAAGCAACTATTTTTTGTTTTCTCTGCTGCTTTATGGGGTCAATGCGATGACGAAATAGTGAGTTTAACTTTCCCATTTCTTTTCCTTTTTGTTTCAACCATCAGATGCGATTTTTACAACTATGGGAGGAACATAGCCTGCTTAAAATGCAACTGCAAGCGACCAGGGGAGTTCTCACTCAGCTCAGCGAACTCTGCTTATTCCAAGGATCCTGAACTTGAGAAAAGACTACTGGTCGAAAACGAAGAGAAACACTAAAAAAACTTGAGATGAAGATTTCCAGAGGTTATGCCTTTGAGGAAAGAAGTTAGTAGATATGTTGTTAACACGAGAAAAGCACTTCTGGAGAGAAGGTTGACTAATGCTGAGACAAATGGAAACTCAAAAGGGAGTGAAGATAAGACGTTGGGAACTAAAACGAATAAGAGCCTGAGTGAGATTCTCGGTTCTACATCCTCCTCTTTGGCTTCTTCCAGGAGGTCTGAATCTTCTCAGGTAATTAACTCTGACTTTTCCCGTTCGTGCCACTACCATCCGGTATGTTTGCCAAGAAGCTTGATAAGGAGGAAACACAGAAGGTATGACGGCCAACAACAAAATAGACGGTGTCTCAGAGGTTAATGAAAACGTCTACCAAGAGGACAAGTCAAGTGCTAGTGTTTTTGGCAAAGAAACAGATGAACCTGAAAAAGATGAGAAAGAATCAGATTGGTTAAAGAGGGCCACAGAACTGCACAAGGTTTCTGATCAGGAAAGCGCAATACCTGAAGAGATATGTTAGTGTGTTAAGTCCCACATCGATAATCTCAAATAAATTTAAGTAATATATAATACACATAAGCCAATTCACCTATTGCCTTAAGGTTTTGGGTTGAAAGCTCATGGTTTATCATGGTATCAGAGCGTGTTTCAATTGTTGGGGCACCCCGTGGATGTAGTCCCACAAATACTCCACGCTTCAGATGGTCATGCCTGAGCGTGAGGGAGGGTGTTAGTGTGTTAAGTCCCACATCGATAATCTCAAATAAATTTAAGTAATATATAATACACATGAGCCAATTCACCTATTGCCTTAAGGTTTTGGGTTGAAAGCTCATGGTTTATCAAGATATCTCCTGAGAAAATGCCAATGCTGAGTAAAGGAGAGAATCAGTATGCGGTAAGCAGGAAGAAAGACCCTTCACTGACTTCTCCAGCAAACAAGAGACGGATGTCTATTGTAACAAAAGATTTACAAGCCTGAGACTAGAAGAAAGCATCTTCTCCCACATTAGCTTCAACAACCAATACCTTCATGTAATAAACAATTAAGGTATAAAAACAAAACCATCCTTTCCAACTCTTGAAGCCAATTGCATTAATGAAGATGACGTCGTTTCAATCTAATAAAAGTCAAAGCTTCTTCTTCTCTCATTCGACGTGGCCTAACCATTTATCTCAAACTTCTCTGACGCTCTACATTCCCTCTCTCTCTCTCTCTCTCTGCTTCCATGTCTACCCTCGCAACCTCTACGAAGAAATGGGCGAGAAAATCCGGGACAGCCATTCACGCCGCCCTATCTTTACTCATCTTCTTCTTCCTCGACCTCACCGACGCGATACTCTGCTTCGTTTACGAGCTCCTCGACGAGATTTTGGAGGGAAACTCCCTAAGCTGTTACTGCAACGCGTCTCCTCATACCACCGGTGAAAATGAGGTCTCAGAGACTTTATTCAAGAGGAGAAACGTTTTCCGAGAAATGGGTTTTCTCGGGTTAACGAGAAAGTTGAAGCTTTTCAAGAGAATGGTAAAGTCTAAGAAGAATAGATGGTCAGATTGTGGATGTCTTACTTGCAACTCGTGGACGAAGAAAGAAGATGGGAATCTTCACGTCGTAGTCAAAGATTCATCTCCTCAAACTCAAGGTCAAATATTATTTAAAAAATACGTTTTTATTTGTTTTTCTAACGATTGAATCTTCATGTTGGATTAAAAAAACAGAGGACTCTGTTCAAGAACCGTTGGAGAATGTTATATTCATACACGGTTTCATGGGCTCATCGTATTTCTGGACAGAGACTGTGTTCGAACACTTTGAGGAAGATCGTTACAGGCTCTTTGCTGTCGATCTTTTGGGGTTCGGGGAAAGTCCTAAGCCAAGAGATAGTCTCTATACGTTGAGAGATCATGTAGAAGCGATAGAGAGGTCTGTCATTAAGCCTTACCAGTTAGGTTCATTTCATCTGGTTGCACATTCTATGGGGTGCTTGATTTCTCTTGCTTTGGCTGCTAAACACTCAACCATTGTTAGATCAGTTACTGTTGTCGCACCGGTGAGAGATTAGTTTCTTGTCTTTATCTTATGTTTCAGTCTAACTCGTGAGCTAAATGTGTATTTTAACTTTTCAGCCTTATTTTCCTTCATCACTTGAAGAATCGGTCTTGACTCGAATCGCTGGAAAGCGACTCTGGCCGCCACTAGCGTTTGGTACTGCGGTCATGTCGTGGTATGAACATGTTGGTAGATGTGTTTGTTTCATAGTCTGCAAGCATCACAACATTTGGGAATGGCTCATCAAGCTATGTACTGGTAAAAGGTAAAAACGTTTTCAACCGGTTTATGTTATTTTGGTTCGGTTTATGAGCAACACTTTATTTTTGTAAGGGAGATTCCTTGGAAGATAAAGGATATAACAAGACACACACATCACTCAGCATGGCATAGCATGCACAATGTGATCTGCGGTGGGTCCAAATTCGCGGATAAACATCTTGAAACTCTTATAAACTCTGGTGTGAAGATTCACTTGATGCAAGGCGACCGTGATGAGATCGTTCCTTTGCACTGCTCTAGTGACATGAAGAGGAATTTTCCGGCGGTGGAAGTTGAGATTGTTGTTGGTGCTGATCATGAGAGTGTTATAGGCGGAAGAAGAGAAGAGTTTGTTGAGAAGTTGAAAAGCATTTGGAGCTCATGTAGTGAAGGTTCTATTGCTACAAAACAATACAAAAAACCAAAATTCTAATGTGCTGATTCTTTTTCTTTTCTTTGACTTGAAGGGATGGGTACAAAACTAGGAACATAAAGCTAGGTGAGGTCACAGATCAAGCAAAGAATCAATCGGAATCCTCCCCTCAGAATGTAGATGCAAGCTTCCCCCAATTTCATCACAGAGTACACACAATAATCCCTTTCTAATCGATGAAGTAACTCGGCTGAGTGACAGAATATACATTATCTTGTAGTCCAGGGAAATTAGTTACAGAAATCTTCATTAACAATTTAGCATACTTCACAACACATCATATTCTTTATCCTACTAGTCTTATGCTTACTTTAGAGCCAATATCCTCCATCAGCCGCAAGAGCTTGAGTGTTCCTAAAAGCGTTATTGCAAGGCAGAGACTATCACAGAAGAGCCTGAATGTCTCCTTGTAAATAAAATCGAAACGTTAGATAAACACACAAACTAGTCTTTTAACTTATGAAGCAACCCAATATAAAGTTCCATGCAATAACACACGATCTCTCCTTTGATTAGCTGCAAACTCGTAAATAGCAGAGCTCTCGGGTCGGGTCCGCTATGATCGTACCCCTAAGCCATAGAATTTGAATAGTTGTACACAAAACAGAGATCCATCCCTTCTGTCTCGACCATAATGGAACAAAAAAAAAATGAATATTTTAATTTTGGTCAAAATAAATTGTAATTAGAGTATGGAATAAAGAGTTGCAAACAAGGCAACTACCAAGTAATGGGGGGTAGGTCTACCAGATCCCATCCTTTCGTTTTAATAGCGGAGATAACAAGCTAAAGAGACTACTCCCTAAAATAACTGATTTTGCACCCCACTCTTCTTCTTCTTCTTCTCCCATTCTCTTTCTTCTCCATTTGATTCTGGGTTAGGAGCTATGGATACAGAGTTCCTCAGAACCCTAGATCGACAGATTCTCTTGGGTGTCTTCGTAGCTTTCGTCGCCGTCGGTGCTGGTGCTGCTTACTACCTCTCTTCCTCCAAAAAACGCAGAGGTTGGTTCGTTCTATCCCCCAAATTCAAAACCTTTTTCATTTTTCCACAATGCCTATATCTCATTCCCCTGTAAAGCATGAAACTTTTTGTATAAGTTTAGGCAAAGAGTTGTATATGAGCCTACATCAATGTTAAAAATCGAGCCTTTTGTGGTCTTCTATGTAAATGTGTACTTGTTTCAGCTAAAAGTCTTATGGGTTTGTTGGATTATATATATAGGGTGTTTGGATCCAGAGAACTTCAAGGAGTTTAAGCTTGTTAAGAAGCAACAACTTAGTCACAATGTCGCTAAGTTCGTTTTTGAGCTTCCGTCTTCTACCTCCGTCTTGGGTCTTCCCATTGGTCAACACATCAGCTGCAGGTTTTGCTCTTCATACCTCTCTTTAGTATCATATATGAAACGGCTATGAACATACTCGTTTGTAGACTTTAGGTTATGTTTCTGTGTTTAGAGTGGTGTTGTGGTGAAATATAATGAATTTGTCTATAGGGGAAAGGATGCACAAGGAGAGGATGTTATTAAGCCTTACACTCCTACGACCTTAGATTCTGATGTTGGACGTTTTGAACTTGTTATTAAGGTAGTATATGCTTTACTTCTCACTCAGCTTGACTCGGTTTTTGTATTCTCACTAGTTCCAACTAAAAATTGATGGAAATTTCACGTTGCCAACTATAGATGTATCCGCAAGGAAGGATGTCTCATCATTTCAGGGAGATGCGTGTTGGAGACCATCTTGCTGTTAAGGGACCAAAGGTACTTTACTTACTAACTCAGATGTTATTTCAATCAAAAATTGGTGTTAAATACTACTTCTTGAATCTCAAAAACTTTTTTTATTGTTTTGTTACTTTTGACCTTACCAGGGCAGGTTCAAGTATCAGCCAGGTCAGTTTAGAGCATTTGGAATGCTTGCTGGAGGTTCAGGCATCACTCCCATGTTCCAAGTATGTCTTGATACATTTGCGTGTTTAATATCTTTTTTTTTGAAACCATTGTCTATGTTTAAACCTCGCTTGTTTGAAAGGTGGCAAGGGCGATCCTAGAAAACCCAACAGACAAGACAAAGGTTCACCTCATTTACGCCAATGTCACATACGAAGACATTCTCCTAAAGGTAAAAGAAAAAGAGTCGAGAGCAAAACATTTTGTATCCACGGACTGTTTTCAAACTCTAAATATTATGTGACTCGTTACTTCTTTCAGGAAGAATTGGAGGGTCTTACAGCCAATTACCCAGATCAATTCAAAATCTACTATGTTCTGAACCAGGTTAGTTACCATATCCAAATGTTTTGGCCTTCCTCTAGAGTAACTCTGTCCTGATGCTTTTAGTGTTCAATCTTGTGTGGCAATAATATGATTAGCCTCCGGAAACATGGGATGGTGGTGTTGGATTTGTATCTAAGGAAATGATTCAGGCCCATTGCCCTGCTCCAGCATCCGATATTCAGGTAGAAACCTTTCCTTTTCTTACTTCATCTTTAACATACGACAGAGTCATCACTGTTTCTGAATCTAAATCTTATTTGAAACAAAACCAAGAACACTGCAAATGAATGAAACTTTTGACAAGTAGTTTTGAGTGATAGGGTTGGTGTTTCAGTATTGTATATGTTTGAATTGCAGATCCTAAGATGTGGACCACCGCCTATGAACAAGGCCATGGCTGCAAACCTTGAAGCTCTTGGTTACTCTCCAGAGATGCAATTCCAGTTCTGATCTAAAATCTCTGCTTTTGATTCCTTCTCCACAAATGGAGCTATTTAAAAACAAAAAAAAACTCATATCTCTGATCAATAATTTTAGTTACATGCCCAAATGAAAGTTACTGTCTCAATTGAGTGAGAGTTGTGTTTCTGTTCCAGGCTTCATAAACCCATTGACCATTATGTGTGTTGACTGTTTGTTATCTCATTGGAAGTTCCAGTTTATTGGTTGAGGATTTGGTTAGGTATGTGGTTTACTTATACCGGTTTGGTTTGGAATTCATATATAAAGACTTGATAGTGACATGGACATCAACATGACCTACCCTATATGTTTGTTTTGGTCTGTTTCAATCAATTTGGGCGACTGGCCCTACTACTATGCATGAATCATGAGTCACTTTAGTAGCATATCTATATAAGGCTGCTTGAAATTGATTTTCGTTTATTTTAATTTTAGAAAACCAATATTTTGTTCTTTTACTGTTTTTTTGGGTTAAAAATGTAACTATCATTTTAGAAAATGAAGTAAGATGTGTAGTTAATAAATTGAACCATGAAAAGAAACTTCTTGTTAATGAAGGTGTTACAATAAGTTTAATAAAGTATTTCCTTCCTCATCATCGTCATCTACCCGAACTTTTTTCTTCACATCATAGTAATAGTCTAGTGACATTATAAAGTGAAATGTTGGTGAACGATGAATATTGATTTAGTTATTGAGAGAATTAAAGAAAAAGTTTTAATATAAATTTACTTTTGAAGTATTGGTGAACGATAGGGAACTTTGCGTGATTTCGATATTGTTAAAGCATACTCTGATATTAAAGTTGGTACGCCACGGTCCAAAAGAAAGATGAACTCATGACTCAGTAGTACACTAGCTTTTTTTCTCTTCTTGGTTATGAAACACATTGTCCATTCATACTCTGACACGTACCTCTTCCTCTAAAGATATCTTTTACTGATGGAATTACAACACGCAATAAGAAGTCCCACATGCTACATCGCGACAATTTAGCGCATCTTTTCGCGTTTTGGTCTTTTAGACCAACAATATCGGCGACTCCTAACAACGTCCTTAGCGAAAATCAGCAAAAAAATAAATCAAAATTAAAGAAAAATCAAAGAGACGTGGGTTAAATAAGAAGTTTTGGACGACGTCGCTAAGGAGCACGTGGCATCATAGGATTGGGGTAGAGGAAGGTCGAGTTTCGGTCTGCAAATTATTCTTCTCGTCTCTCTATTCTCTCTCTACGACGATTTTTCGTGTGGAACGTGATGATCAAAGGCTTCACTAGCTCTGATCAGTATCACGAAGCGCTTAAGTTTTATTGTAGAATGGTGTTCATAGGAATCAAGGCT